ATGGAACGCTGAAGAAAGAAGAGATAAAGCTGAAGAGGATGAAGCTCTGAGAAGATTGGCAAAAGTTAATACCGAGAGAGTCATCCAGTATCACTCTGGGAAATACCTGGGCGAAACGCGCTTGCACATCTTTTGAGAAGATCAGGTTGTGGCTAGACGACCGTACATCTGAAAATCGTGTGATGGTAATCAGTGGAGATGCGGGAATGGGTACATCAGTGATCGCCGCTGTCGTTTGTCAGAGAATGCAACACGCTGGTCGGCTCTTAGGAAGTCACTTTTGTCAGCACAACAAGGAACGTTACAGAAACCCGAAGGTGATGCTTCAGTCGTTAGCCTGTCAGCTGTGTGATGTCTTACCAGAATACAAAAGTGAACTTGTGAAGAAACTTTCTAGAAATTTGGCGTGGACATGAACAGCCTAGAAGTTCAGGAGTTGTTCGAATTTCTTTTCAAAGAGCCTTTATGCAGCGTAGGAGACCCAGGTAGAAATTTGCTCTTGGTGGTTGATGGCTTGGATGAAACTGAATACAAAGGCCGCAATAATCTGCTTGATGTCGTGGCTAATCATTTTTGCAAACTTCCTCTTGGTTCCGGTTTCTTGTTACCACTCGACCTGAAGTAAATATTGCAGATCGTCTTAAAAGGTTTAATCCTATTCAGCTGGGGCAAGATGACGAAGAAAAACGTGAAAAGACATCAGATTCTTCCTTGAAAACAGTTGAGCAGCGTTATTCAAGCGGGCTTTAACGAGGTCATTATCGATGCACTGGTCCGAAAGGCTGCAGGGCATTTTATATGCTTATTTGATGGTCGATTTTATCAAGGAAAACGTTTCACTTCTCACTCCCGAAGAGTTAGGAAGAACCTTACCTTCAGGTGTATCGTCTGTTTATCAGTCCTACTTTGAACGTTTAGAGAAAGAATTGGAAATTGGTGAGGACCAGTTTTTAACTTTTCTAAGTGCTTTGGCGGCTGCAAGAGAACCGCTACCACGAGGTCTTGTTTCTAAGATATTGCTTTTCGGACTTGAAGTCCCCATCTGGTCCTCGGAAGTAACAAAAGCTATTGACTCTATCTCAACCCTTCTACCTGTTCATGATGACTGTATTGTGTTCTTCCACAAATCAGTTAAGGACTGGTTGACTGACAGAACTACCTACGGGCAACACACCTTCTCTATGGATGAAAAGCAAGGTCATGCCATGCTCTCTCAGCTCTGTGCTAATGAACTGAATAACGTGAAAAGAAAAGGCGTTCACGGAACAGAATTCAGTAACACTGCAAGGTACGCCCTACAGCATGGTGTTTATCATATGCTCGAGTCCGAAGAGCTGGATGAGGGTGCAAGAAGCTTTGAAGAAATCGTTAACAACTATGTTACCGACCTAGACATTGTGTATGCAAAAGCTGTGTGTAAACAACACGGCTAGTTCTGAAGACATTATCCTTACTCAGAAACAAGAAGCTTTTCAGTTATTGAGTAGTGAGAGGCGAAAAGCCCTTAGCACGTTGTTTTCTCTCTTAAGGAAGTACCATGGAAGACTTTCGACGCATCCTAGTACAATATTTCAAGTGATGGTGAACGAGGGAGGGGACGTTTTTGCTGGTGAAGCAACGAAAGTTTTACAGAGTCGTGAAATGCCATACATGGAGTACCTTCATAAGGAAGCTGTGAAGAAGGAGTCGAAAAAGACCCAGGCTGAGTTTCACTGTAACTCCGCGGTTGCTTGTTTTGATATTTCCTCTTCGCAGGAGTTCATGGTTTGCGAATGTACTGATGGGATGATTTACCTTTGGTCACTGAAAACGGGTGAGCGAAGGTGGGTACGTCGGGTTGAGGTCGAGAAAAGCTACGTTAACCCTTTTCGCCCCTTAAGACCGGTGCCAAACTCAGATGTATACTCATGTTATCGCTCTGTTGTTTTTCACCCTACTGAGCCCATTGTTCTTCCTGGAATCCTTAGCCATGCTTACTCGTTTGAAGGAAACCTCCGACCTCTGTTTCCTAGAAGCAATTGCAGATTTTCTGTTTGTTCAGTTCATGGGGACGAGAGCAAAATTATCACCGATTGCCCTGGCGATGCTAAATGCCTTGTCATGTGGAATCTAAAAAATGGTGAAGAGACCGCTCGAACCATCAGAAATGAAGATGTTTTGTCTTTTGCTTGGTCTCCAGATGGAACGCTTCTGGCAATTTCCCATTTTTCGGGACTGGTATGTTTGGTTGACGCATTGAACTGCTTAGACACCACTCTTGCAGAAGTCGCCACTAATCAACCTTGTGGAATCATAAGGTTTACCCCTGACATTCAATTCCTTTTTTGTTTGTCTTCGTCATTTCTACTAAGTGAAGACGACAACGATAGTGCGGAAATAGAACCGTTGCAACCCTTAAGTTTTCCCTTAAACGTTATTAAGTTGCCTTGTGGTACCTTTTCCTTGAACGTTTTAGACAATGATTTTGACCAGTATCCATGGAATTGCGAATCGTTTAGCAAAGGTGGATTCTTGATAGGAGATCCTATGTTTTACAGGATTTCCTCGTGCGTTTTACTTGATGAGTTGTTTGCATTTGCATTTGTATTAAACAAACAAAGTGTATTAACGGTACCTCCTGGTAACAGGAAAATTACAATGCTTAAACATGAACATTATTCGTGGTCCACCAGGTGTTTTCCTTTCTTTTGCATTGCCTTCGCTTTAGATGGAAAGACCATTTACGGTACCACTGTAGGGGTTAATGGCTTTCAAGTGGTATCTTTGGATGTGTCGAGTGGAGATCGTAAAGCAGAGAAAGTGATAAGTACACCCTCATGTTTTCCTTTGTACCTGTGTCAGAGGGTGTCCTTTTTGAAACAAAGAGAACCTGGGGCAGATGTTCAGCTATGGAATTTTGAGTTGTCACAACAAATCCGAAGTTGGCCTAATTTAAGCGAGGTTAGGGATATAAAGCCATTTTCAGACCGATGTAGCGTGTGTGGGGAGAGATTTTCAAGTAACCATCCTGGACACATCAAATGGAAACATAGTGAAGACCATCCCACTTTGTCACGAGGGTTTCCGGTCACCATATTGGTTGCGTAAAGTACCCATAGTATGTAACAGGAAATTTCAGCTGCTATCCACCGCTGGTAGCTCAGTTCAGATGTCAGATGGTAAAAATGAACTATGGAAGAGATCTCTGAAATTCAATATAGAAGTTCGATCTTTTTTTTTTTTGTTGACCTACCTGGATGTTTTCTCCAACAGAGGAGTTTGTCCTTGTCTCGTCTAAAAACTCTTCGTGGAAGACAGAAGTACTTGTGCTTGAAGCATCTTCAGGAAAGTATCTCCGGACGCTATGCACCGTTGACAGAATTCATGGCTATAACGGAATTTTGGCTGTGCCTTTGTAAGTAACACGGAATGTGTTATCGTCTGCAAGAATACTTCAGAGAGCTATTGTCTTCAGTTGTTCAATGTTAGCACTGGGGATTTCCTAACCGTACTTGATATAGATTTTGAACCGTCCCAGTGTCTGGCTTCCTGTCCACAAAAGGGTTTGATCGCTTTTTGGCCTTAAGAACTCAAATGTATGTGCGCAGTTATCGAAGTAAAACAGCTGCGAGACAAAGTAAACCAGGAAGCAAAAGGTGAGCAATGCGTTTTTTCCTTATCATTAGTCAAAGAATTGCTAAGTTTAAATACGTAGCGTTGACAGATCACACCTACATTAAAGTGGCAATATTAGTTTCCAAAAAAGGAGCTTGTGTAAAGGATAGTGCAGTGTGTGGATATTAGTGGGGTCGAACCTCTATAAGCAGCCACTCTATTTAGCGGCCTGTTACAAGATTCCCTGCGAACAAAGCTATCAGTAAATCACTGTAAAAAGTGCCTCTATTAAGCAGCCACTCTATTTAGCGGCCTGTTACAAGATTCCCTGCGAACAAAGCTATCAGTAAATCACTGTAAAAAGTGCCTCTATTAAGCAGCCACTCTATTTAGCGGCCTGTTACAAGATTCCCTGCGAACAAAGCTATCAGTAAATCACTGTAAAAAGTACCTTTATTAAGCAGCCACTCTATTTAGCGGCCTGTTCCAAGATTCCCTGCAGACAAAGCTGTCAGTAAATCACTGTAAAAAGTACCTTTATTAAGCAGCCACTCTATTTAGCGGCCTGTTCCAAGATTCCCTGCAGACAAAGCTGTCAGTAAATCACTAAAAAAAGTACCTTTATTAAGCAGCCACTCTATTTAGCGGCCTGTTCCAAGATTCCCTGCAGACAAAGCTGTCAGTAAATCACTATAAAAGTACCTTTATTAAGCAGCCACTCTATTTAGCGGCCTGTTCCAAGATTCCCTGCAGACAAAGCTGTCAGTAAATCACTGTAAAAGTACCTTTATTAAGCAGCCACTCTATTTAGTGGCCTGTTCCAAGATTCCCTGCAGACAAAGCTGTCAGTAAATCACTGTAAAAAAGTACCTTTATTAAGCAGCCACTCTATTTAGCGGCCTGTTCCAAGATTCCCTGCAGACAAAGCTGTCAGTAAATCACTATAAAAAGTACCTTTATTAAGCAGCCACTCTATTTAGTGGCCTGTTCCAAGATTCCCTGCAGACAAAGCTGTCAGTAAATCACTATAAAAGTACCTTTATTAAGCAGCCACTCTATTTAGCGGCCTGTTCCAAGATTCCCTGCAGACAAAGCTGTCAGTAAATCACTATAAAAAGTACCTTTATTAAGCAGCCACTCTATTTAGCGGCCTGTTCCAAGATTCCCTGCAGACAAAGCTGTCAGTAAATCACTATAAAAAGTACCTCTATTAAGCAGCCACTCTATTTAGTGGCCTGTTCCAAGATTCCCTGCAGACAAAGCTGTCAGTAAATCACTATAAAAGTACCTCTATTAAGCAGCCACTCTATTTAGTGGCCTGTTCCAAGATTCCCTGCAGACAAAGCTGTCAGTAAATCACTATAAAAAGTACCTTTATTAAGCAGCCACTCTATTTAGTGGCCTGTTCCAAGATTCCCTGCAGACAAAGCTGTCAGTAAATCACTATAAAAAGTACCTTTATTAAGCAGCCACTCTATTTAGTGGCCTGTTCCAAGATTCCCTGCAGACAAAGCTGTCAGTAAATCACTATAAATAGTACCTTTATTAAGCAGCCACTCTATTTAGTGGCCTGTTCCAAGATTCCCTGCAGACAAAGCTGTCAGTAAATCACTATAAAAAGTACCTCTATTAAGCAGCCACTCTATTTAGTGGCCTGTTCCAAGATTCCCTGCAGACAAAGCTGTCAGTAAATCACTATAAAAAGTACCTTTATTAAGCAGCCACTCTATTTAGCGGCCTGTTCCAAGATTCCCTGCAGACAAAGCTGTCAGTAAATCACTATAAAAAGTACCTTTATTAAGCAGCCACTCTATTTAGTGGCCTGTTCCAAGATTCCCTGCAGACAAAGCTGTCAGTAAATCACTATAAAAAGTACCTTTATTAAGCAGCCACTCTATTTAGTGGCCTGTTCCAAGATTCCCTGCAGACAAAGCTGTCAGTAAATCACTGTAAAAAGTACCTTTATTAAGCAGCCACTCTATTTAGCGGCCTGTTCCAAGATTCCCTGCAGACAAAGCTGTCAGTAAATCACTATAAAAAGTACCTTTATTAAGCAGCCACTCTATTTAGCGGCCTGTTCCAAGATTCCCTGCAGACGAAGCTGTCAGTAAATCACTATAAAAAGTACCTCTATTAAGCAGCCACTGTATTTAGTGGCCTGTTCCAAGATTCCCTGCAGACAAAGCTGTCAGTAAATCACTATAAAAAGTACCTCTATTAAGCAGCCACTCTATTTAGTGGCCTGTTCCAAGATTCCCTGCAGACAAAGCTGTCAGTAAATCACTATAAAAAGTACCTTTATTAAGCCAGCCAGTGGCCTGTTATTTAGCGGCCTGTTCCAAGATTCCCTGCAGACAAAGCTGTCAGTAAATCACTATAAAAAGTACCTTTATTAAGCAGCCACTCTATTTAGCGGCCTGTTCCAAGATTCCCTGCAGACAAAGCTGTCAGTAAATCACTATATAAAAAGTACCTCTATTAAGCAGCCACTATTTAGTGGCCTGTTCCAAGATTCCCTGCAGACAAAGCTGTCAGTAAATCACTATAAAAAGTACCTTTATTAAGCAGCCACTCTATTTAGTGGCCTGTTCCAAGATTCCCTGCAGACAAAGCTGTCAGTAAATCACTATAAAAAGTACCTCTATTAAGCAGCCACTCTATTTAGTGGCCTGTTCCAAGATTCCCTGCAGACAAAGCTGTCAGTAAATCACTATAAAAAGTACCTCTATTAAGCAGCCACTCTATTTAGTGGCCTGTTCCAAGATTCCCTGCAGACAAAGCTGTCAGTAAATCACTATAAAAAGTACCTTTATTAAGCAGCCACTCTATTTAGCGGCCTGTTACTAGATTCCCTGCAGACAAAGCTGTCAGTAAATCACTATAAAAAGTACCTTTATTAAGCAGCCACTCTATTTAGCGGCCACTCTGTTCCAAGATTCCCTGCAGACAAAGCTGTCAGCAAATCACTATAAAAAGTACCTTTATTAAGCAGCCACTCTATTTAGTGGCCTGTTCCAAGATTCCCTGCAGACAAAGCTGTCAGTAAATCACTATAAAAAGTACCTTTATTAAGCAGCCACTCTATTTAGCGGCCTGTTACTAGATTCCCTGCAGACAAAGCTGTCAGTAAATCACTATAAAAAGTACCTTTATTAAGCAGCCACTCTATTTAGTGGCCTGTTCCAAGATTCCCTGCAGACAAAGCTGTCAGTAAATCACTATAAAAAGTACCTTTATTAAGCAGCCACTCTATTTAGTGGCCTGTTCCAAGATTCCCTGCAGACAAAGCTGTCAGTAAATCACTATAAAAAGTACCTTTATTAAGCAGCCACTCTATTTAGTGGCCTGTTCCAAGATTCCCTGCAGACAAAGCTGTCAGTAAATCACTATAAAAAGTACCTTTATTAAGCAGCCACTCTATTTAGCGGCCACTTGTCCCTTCCCCGAGGCTGTCCGCTGGCCGCTTAACACTTCAAGTCCCAAGGGTGACCAACCTCAATTTTCCCTTGACATCATCAATACATCATCATAAGAAAACGTTATGAGAAGAGATGAAATGATCACCTAAGAGAAAATGCTTTGATCTTTAAATAAATTCTCTCAACTAATTCTTTGAGAAAATTTAAACCTCAATTTTCCCCTAACAATATTAATACATCATCATGAAAAAACGTTATGAGAATTGATGAAATGATCACCTAAGAGAAAATATTTTGATCTTTAAACAAATTCTCTCAACTGTTCCTTCTTCATTGAGCGAGATATTTCAGCTCCAGAAAACTTTGTGAATCTTTAAGAACTTTGCCAGTAGCTTTCTTCTCAGTTTTTAAATATTCTTGCAGATTGCATATATATTGTTTAATTAATAGGGATGTAATGGTTCTGACTGTCTTATCTTGGACCATTAATGAATACAAATTCAGTTTTATTTT